CTTTTGTTTATGTATTCTTGTTTGTAGTGCTGGGGATCAAATCCTGGGCCTCATGCATTACTAGTCAACTGCTCTACCACTGAACCATACAATATATTTATAACAAAACCCAAGTATAGACTTTTTTTTCTATCTGTATTCTTAATTTTTTCAAAACAGCTCTGTAAATGGGTAGGGAGAAATCCTTGTTCCCATTTTACAGAGGAAGCAACTAAAGCTTAAAAAGGATTTGAGATTTATCCAATAGTATGAAATTAGTAATTTTTGGAGGGCATCATCAAATCCAGCTCTCCTAATACCAAGAGCAGTGTCCTTTCTCTTTCATGTATGGCTTCAATAATGTCCCTCTCCATGGGAAGTCTCTAACCCATCAATAATCATTTTTTTTCCAGTCTTCCAGCTAACTAAGCAAATATCTAATAGCCATGCAGTTGTGAGGTAGGAAGAATCTCTGATATAAAATGAAGATTCAATTTGTGTAAAATTTTATAGGCAAACATGCTGTAGAAATGTTATAAATTATTAAATATTTCCCTTCTCAATTGATTCTCACAGTGTGCTGCATTTTTCTTCATTTTCTTTTGTAGTTGGTGTTAAAAAATGGAAGGATTAGTTTTTCAAATGCTGCCTGGGAAACTCCATTCCTAGCCCATTTCTTAAATCTGTTTGCTGGACAATTGCATCTCCCTGCTGGGTACTGGGCAGCATTACAAGGGGTTCATGGACTGTAACAGCTGCAGTCACTTCACAGTAAAAACCAGACTGGGTACCAATTGGCCTGAGTCCAAATGTCCAACTGACCATGTTAAATAGCTACCCAGGCAGGGAGGGTATAAACACAATGCCATTTTCTCAAGATATGTCTTATTATTATAGTTATTGACATGTATTAAGCATTTAGCATGCCCAAGTGCTTAATGCATGTTAATAACAGACTACCCCCCCCCCAATGTGATTCAATTTGGCATGGACCCTGTTTCTTCTTCCCTGCCATTTCTTTTCTACATGAATCCTCTGTGTCTTCTGAACCTGATTTGAGCTCCGAAAGTAGAGATGAAGAATGGTGTAACAAATGATTCTACACTGGGACAGAGTTAAAAGAGATCCAGATTTACACCTTGTTTTAGTCAGCTTTTTCACTGCTTTGACTAAAGGATCTGACCAGAACAATTCTAGAGGAGGGAAGGTTTATTAGAGGGCTCATGATTTAAGAGTTCTTAGTCCATAGAATGCTGGCTCCATCTCTCAGGGCTTAAGATGAGGCTGAACATCATGGCTCATGACTGAGCAGGTGGCAGAGGGAAATAGCTCACATCATGGTGATCAAGAAGCAAAGAGACAGACTCCACTCTCCTTAGACGTCAAAGCCACATCCTAATTGCTGCCTCCTCCATCCACATCCTACTACTTCAGTTACCACTCAGTTAATCCCTATCAGGGGATTAAATCACTGATTGGGTTAAGACTCTTACAACCCAATCATTTCGCCTCTGAACCTCCTTGCATTGTCTCAAACATGAGCTTTTGGGGGACACCTCACATCCAAACCATAACACAACTGGCCTCACAATGGTGAATTGGAGAGAAGAGTCACCAGTTATTTGGGAAACAGAATCAGAAACCTGCATAAATGGAAGTGGTTGGATCCACATGAAATCCAAGGAAGTCAAGGAAGAGTCTCAGATCTGGACACAGGCAAGGAGGCAAGTCAAATGGCAAAGCCTGAGGGAAATGTATGAGGTGGACATGATGGGTATCAAGGAGGACCAAATTAATAATGCTGACCTGCAGAGCAAAGAGTATGGGCCCTGAGAATAGAGAATTCTCAAAAGGGTCTCCTCTTTGAGCAACCTTTAACTGGAATACTATGGCAGCAACCAAAAGGTCTCTTTTTATAAATTCTAAACATGTTTATTGAACTCTTTGCCCATACCAAGCTCAGTACTGATAAATGGTTGTATACAATGGAGGCCAAACAGGCAATATATTTGCTTAATTGCTTACTTGGCTGTGACAATGTGGTGGAGAGCTGTCTCACAGAAGAATCCATACCATGAAGTACTAAAATAACTTCGAAGAAACATTAATACGAACTATCTGGTTCATGAAGAGATACAACATCTAGTTTTATAAAGGCCTGGGTTCAGAACATAAAAAAATGGACTTCAAATGACTTTTAAACATTGAAGGTTTAATGAAGAGGTTGTGTCTCTTCCTGTGAGTTAGAACTGGCCTCATCTATTTAGGATGGTATTAGAGGAGAAAATTCTTACCTTATAGGATGCATTGGAATCACTTGGTGGGCTTGCTAAAGCACAAATTGCTGGGTCTCATTTTCAGATCCAACTTATATTCAAGTTCTAGGCCTATGGCTAGACCTGAGAATTTACATTTCTAAAATGGTCCAGGTGATGCTGATAGGTCTGAAAACACATTTTAAGAGACATGAAAGTCACATGGACTCTGGAATGGTAGGTAGGGAGGAGCTGTTTAATCACCCAATGTCCTAGCCTTTCCTCTGCATATTCACATGCAGCAGGACTGGAGTGGGGTCCAGAAACCTGCTTTGCTCCAAATGTTTCAACAGATGCTGTGATCAGGTAAATCTGGGAAACAGTGGGAGGCAACCTCTATAGCTCTGTCCCATGAATGTAGGTATTCTGGCCGTAAGTTATGTACAATGATGGGAAGAGAGGTTTCGCTTTATTTGGCTACTTATGATAAATGTACTTGGAGTCAGAGATCTACTCAACATTTAACATTCCTATGCTTTCTGATTGGGGGAAATCTCTCTAAGCATAGGGGTTCAATGTAAAAGCGGTATTATCTATAAAATAAGGGTAATAATAATCATCCCTTCAGCTCCTACTATGTGCTATGCTGTTACTGATGTGAGCTAAGACAGATAGGGTCCCTGTCTTCACAGAGCACACAGTCTAGACAAGCAGGATGTGAAATAAATGATGACAATGAAATGTGATGAGGTGTCCCATCCAGTGTGGGGGGCTGATGTGAGGTATGAAGAAATAACACAGACCCGTTGAAATTAGAAAACCCAGTGGGCATTCAGGAATTTTCTCCATTATCATCATCCCTATTATTATTAGTAAGGGAGAGAATTCTGTTAATGGTTATAGAGGAACAGAAAAGAGGGGCCCAAAAATAAATAGCTTAATGTGGACATATTGACAGGATGAAGGAATGGCTGAAAGAGGGGGAGAAGGGCATCCAGAATTGGGGAAGCCAGAGGACAGTTTCAGACATTTTGAGGAGGGTATGATCAGCATTTTTAATGCCCCAGAGAGATCAAGGAGGATAAGAATTAAGAGAAAGCATTTAGGAGGCTGAGTTGGGCAACTGATGATTCAAAGGATTGCAGGTAGACTGTAAAACGAAAGAGACTACTTTCCAGCAGTTTTATTGAGCAGGACACTGAACAGCAGAGAGATCCCTCAGGTTGTCCATTTGCAGAAATCTGATCAAAATGTTCTTGTGTTCCCCAAGGTCAAAGTTATATAATTTCCAATTAGAGAGTCCCAGACACTCATTTTCAGTCTTCACCATTGGCGCTAATGCCAGGCTAAAGAGTCCTGGGGGACCACCCGGGCAGAATGACTTTTTTAGAGATGGGTCCTTTCAGGTCAGGGTGGCACATTAGGTGGCCTGGCACTTTTTGTTATATACTTTGAGGGTTAGGAGGCCAGCATGCTATAAGTTGTTGTATCATTAATAATAAATAATGCTCTGCGAGAAACCTGCATTGCAGATGTGAATGCTGCAGTATGAGAAAGTCCTACTACAGGGTGAATTTCATAGGGGAGAGTCAAAGGGATGAACTCATTGGGATAGTTGTGGGAGGAGAAGAGTGGAATATCCCATATGTTTGTTACTGACATTTCTTAATAGATGGTTTTTAAAATAATGAGAAAAAAAATTGGTCTCTATGCTGGCTCTTCTAATTCTACTGGGCCGCACCACCAACCCGAGGCATAAGTGCTGAAAAAGTCTGACGCCAACAAAATGTAGATTAACTGCGGGAACAGACACAAGGCCACAGTGCAGATCAAAGTGAGGCAGCCGGGGAGCAGGCTCAGCTGTATATGATGGGCATTACCATAATGAATTTTGTGAGTAAGCAGCTCACTTTAAAATCGTTCCTTTTGATCTGTGAAGAAGGTGTTTACTGTAATCAAGAAAAGGTTTACTTGGCAGGGGGAATAAAGAAAGAGGAAGCAAGATAGACAGTTTCGATCAGGTTTTTAATAATTTCCTTTGCCCTTTCTGGTGTCTACACCCTCCTCTTGGGTCCTTTTCATTTCTGACTCCCTTACCCTTTTTTTAGAAAAGGAAACTTAATTTTAACTATTTGGAATGGGGGAGGAACAGATGGAAAAGGGATAAAGTCAGAGATGCCTTGCTGTAAAAAGTGAATTATGGTTCCAAACCAAATGAAACTACACAGGTCCTAATTGCTGATAGGAGGTGAAAAGATAAAGTGTGTTAAAAAAAAGGCAAAACTCTTCCCTTTTTCGGTTTCCTTGCCTTTAGAGATTTCTGGGCATTTCTAGATTTGTGTCCATGAAAGATTTGCATTTTAGTTCTCTATTGCAAATTGCTCTTACCATATTGTCTCAGAGAGAAGCAAAAGCTGTTCTAAAGCTGAACCTTCTATCTGCTGGGGAGAGAGGGTGTGTTTCTCCACTCCACTGAACTTGTGTGTATATAATCCTTTTGTACCATGAATGAATGCCATTCTGACCCACTCTGCCAGACAGAAGATGATGTCTTGCTCTTTTCTTCTCTCTCCCTCTCTTCCTTCCCTCTCACTGTTTCTAAGACCCTTAAGAGAAGTGACTTTGGCAATAGATGATTTGTCCCCAAACAGCATCATATAATGTGACATTAGAGGAAAGAAAAAGGTAACATGCTTTCCTTATGCCTGAGACCCTCTAACAGAAGACAGATGACAGATTAATAAGAGGACAGCATACATTTTTATTTGATATAAGTTTTACAGGACATGGGCCCCTTCAGAAGTGAAGACCCAGAGAAGCAGAGGAAATGATACTTATATGCGTAGGTTTGATGAAGAGTGGATAGTCCTGGAGAAGTGTTAAGATAGCGGATGTAACCTAATGGTGATCACCTGAGGGGGCACTTTGCAGTGTCTCTGTGTCTTCACTCCTTTCTTCCTGGTGTAGAGAGGATTCCTCCGGAATGAGGATCCTATGACCTACTGTAGAGAAAATGAGGAAAGTCATTCATAGCCTGCTTTCGGGAGAAGGTCAGAGACTTTCCTGCCTTAGGGCTTTTTTCAAATTCCAAGATGCCATGTTTGGGGATAGTATGTCCTAAACTCTGTCAACTTGTATGTCTCGTCGTCTGCTTCCACTCACAATGTTACTGAGCAAGGACTGAATGGAAAGCATGAAGTGTGGAGCTTGCAGGTGGCACTGTCCTACTACTTGCAGGAGGCCTGGGGACACAGACAAGAAAGTTCCATGAGTTCAGAACCAGATGTTAACTGTTGTCAGACCAACAGAAGTGGCCTCATCTCTTACCTTTCCAGGAAAAAAATCTCTTAGGAGAAACCCTTAGAGGGTTAAAAAGATATTCTGACAAGACAAATGTTCCTGTCTATCCTTGCAATATTTTGGTAAAGAACATAGAAATCTGTACAGTCCCAAGAATAGATAAACAAACAACAACAACAACAACAACAACAAAACACACCCACACATGCCGCCCTTTGGGTGAGCTGTTATGGTGGTAGCTTCCACAAAGGAAATTCAGGGAAGGCAGCAGCTGTGGCGAGTTGTGTCTCAGGGTGGCCTTCTGCATGTTTGATCTTAGTTCAGATGAAACCCCTCAGGACAGACAGGCACTTTGAAGTCCCTCAGTTACCTAACCCCAACACTTCCCTCTTTCCCAAGAAGACTTGCTCAGCTCTCCATTCCCAGGGACAGCAGCACCTCTGAGGGCTTTCCTAAGGGGTGTTGAAAAAAGGACTGGGATGGAGAGGGCATGAAAAATCATGATTGGAATGCTAATGGTAAAATGAATTTCAACCTGGGGTGTGCGTTCCTCCAAGGAACTTGAAGGCAGAAAATTAAAACATTCATAAGTGTCTCAAGTTGAGGCCACCGACTTGATTTTAGTGTCTCCACCTTACTATTGGATTGGCTGGATTTAAAATATTCTGAAAACAAATATTACTGAAAATTTAAAAACAAAAAATCTTCAAAATAAATAGAATCACGTATCAAACATTTGTAGACCCATCACCCAGCTCTAGCAATCACCAAGGTTTTGTATTTGTTATTACTTACATCCTAGCTGTATTTTACATACACTGAGATGCACAGAATAAACCCATGCAACCTTTACCCCAATTATAAAATAGGACATTTTAGTCTCTCCAGAAAGTTCCCTCAGGACACTGTCATCTTAGACAGTTTCCACCTCTTTGAAGAACATCTGTCTATGGAATTCTGGAATTATATATTTTTGTGTCTTTTGTCTCTTTTCATTTTGCATAAAGTCTGTGAGATCTATCAATACTCTTGAATATATAGGTAGTTCATTACATTTTTTTTTGCTGAGTATTATTTCACTGTATGACTACACCATTGTTTGTTTATTAATTCTTTTGTTGATGGACACTTGGGCTGTTTCCAGTCGTCAGCTATTGTGAATAAAGCAGCAATAAACATTCTTATACAAGGCCTTGGCAGTATTAGTTTTCATTTCAGTTGGATAAATAATGAAGAATGAAATTGCTGAGTCAACATATGTAACTATAAGAAACTATCATTCTGCCTGTTTTTCTAAAAGCTTCTGAAATCCTTAATTTTAGCTTTCTTGCATAAGACTATCACCATCTGAAATTAATTTTTTTGAATGGTGTAAGGAGGGACTTGAGTTTGTTTGTTTTTTCCCTTCTGTGGATGCCCACTTGTTCCTGCACCATTGTTAAGAACTATTTCTGATTCCCTACTCAATTGCTTTGGCATTATTGTAAAAAAATCAATTGACCATTTAAGTGTGGGTCTATTTCTGGATTCTGCATTCTGTTCTATTGATCTGTTTGTCTACCCTATGCCAATACCTCATTGCATTGATTCTATAGCATTTTAGGAAGTCTTGAAGGCAGATAGCAATTTATGAATTTGTTATTTTTTAAAATTCATAAGCTATTCTAAGTTATTTACATTTCCATAAAAATTTTGGAATCAGCTTTTAAAAAATTTCAATTGAAATCTAGTATTACTGTAATTTTGGTTTGATTGAATCTGTGAATTCATTTGAGGAGAATTGGCATCTTTTTGATATTGAGTATTCTAGACTGTGAATTGGTATACCTGTTTTTTAAGGCCTTTTACAATTTCTGTCAGTGATGTTTAGTAGTTTTCAGTAAAAAGGTTTTGCTCACCTTTTGTTATTTATTCCTAAGTGTTTTATGCTATCTGATGCTATTTAAATGGAATTAATTTTTAAATGACAAGTTTTTTGTTCCTAGCATATGGAAATACAATTTATTTTTATATATTGACCTTGTACCATGAAACCTTGTTTTTCTCAATATTGGAAATTGTATTTTCTCTCTCTCCACCAGGTTCATTATGGCATTATCAATTGCATTAAAATTTTGAAGAACTTTCTTGGACTTTAAATTTTCCCCCTTTTTCTATTTTCTTGATATCTGCTCTTCATTATTGTATTAGCTGTGCTTTCTAAAGATTAATTTTACGTATTTTTCCTAGCATCTGAAGATCATTGAATCAGATGGTATCTCCTACAATAAGCTGTTAAAATCTGACCTTTCACTCTAAGCACTATTTTAGCTACATCACACAGCATTTGATATGTTGTATTTTCACTATCAATTCAATAAAAATTATTTATAGTTCTCATTTGATTCTTCTTTTTTGATCCATGGGCTATTAGAAATTTATTGATCAACTTCCAAATATTGTGGCTTTTCCAGATATCTTATTGTTATTGACTTCTAATTTATATTGCTTGTGGCCAGAGAACATACTCTATAAGATTTAAATCTTTTGAAGCATACTGAGACCTTTTTATAAGGCTAGCCTATGTTATATTCTAGTGTATATATTTGGAATAAATTTGTATTCTGCAGTTGTTGAGGATAATATTCTATAAATATAATTAAGTCAAGATACTTAATTATGACCTAATCTTCTATATTTTTACTGTTTTTTGTTTTGTTTTACTGTTTCATCAATTACTGAGAAAAAAGTGTTAGAAATCTCTAAGATTTTGCATCTATTTCTCCCTTTACTTTTTTTTTGGGGGGGTGGGTGGGAGTAGGGGTACCAGGTATTGAACTCAGGAACACTCAACTACTGAGCCAAATCCCCAGCCCTATTTTGTATTTTGTTTGGAGACAGGGTCTCACTGAGTTGTTTAGCACCTTGCTTTTGCTAAGGCTGGCTTGGAACTCATGATCCTCCTGCCTCAGTTTCCTTGGCTGCTGGGATTACAGAAATGTGCCACTGTACCTGACCTTCCTTTATTTTTTAACATTTTTGTTGTATGTATATTAAAATAAAATTAAGCCCATACACATTTACAATTATTATGTTTTCCTAATGAATTGATTATTTCATCATTATGAAATATTATGCTCTATCTCTAATAATACCTCGTCTTCAAGTTTATTTTGTCTGATATAAATATAGCTACTTCAGCTATCTTATGATTGTATTTTCATGATTTAACATTTTATATAATTTTACGTACAACTTATTATTTTTTAATATGTAAGTACATCTTTTGTGAACAACATGGATAGTATTGAGGTAGATATTTTAAAATACATTTTGTATATCTCTGAATTTTATTGCAGTGCTGTCATTTAAATTTACTGTAACTATTGATGTGGTTGAACTTAGTTCTGACATTTACTATTTGTTTTTTATATCATGTGTTTTATTCCTCTTTACTATCTTTGTTGATCTGATCATAGAATATTTAGTATTATATTTTGTTTTCTTGATTAAGATTTTAGCTGTATCTTTTTGCATTGTTATTATTACTTGTTCTAGAGATTACTATATGTATTGTTAACTTTCATAATCTACTTATAATTAATAATATATTACTTAACATAAAATTAAGTTAACTTGAAATAGAATAGATCTATTTACTCCTTCAGTAATTATGTTAGTTTGTCATTTATATTAACTCTGAATGTGTTACAAAACCCAGATACAACTTCATAATTTTATAAGTTGTAATAAGTTATGAGTATTTTTTAATTAAGAGATCAAAGATTCATCAATGTACAGTTAATTTTTATTATTCTTGCTTTTCTGTATTTGTGAAGTTACTAAAATATATTTGTAATTCTAAAAACCAATGCTAACTTTTATTTAATGTTAATTTGCAGACAGATGAAGATAGGCAAAAACTTTGAATCACCTGATGCATATATTATTAGCTGAGACCAAATAAGGATATTCTCTGTGTTCTTATTTCAGCTCTCATGTTGTATACAAATGTTCTTTTCATAGTCTACATAATGTGTATTTTTCACATTTTTGTGTTTCTTATTGATGATTTTGCTATTAAATGGCCTTTATGTATAAACCAAGTCCTATCTAATTTTAGTAAGTACAAAAAGACTGTGAAGAAATATATGTGTTAGAGAAACTTTATTCAGGTACTTCATGGTGCTGGTGGCTTAAATTCAATGTCACTGAAGCATTAATTAATTAGCTTGTCTTTAAAGAGAATCACTCTTAAAATAAGTTTATTTATTGACTGATAAAAACATTGACCAGAGGTGTACAGGGGCTTAATGCTGCATTTCCCCTCATAGCAATGATTCAGTATTCACTAATTCAGTATCTGCATCTACTCTACAGAACATGTCTGCTATGAGTAACAAGAAGTGACTATACTTTACACACATAACACGTCTTTTAGATTTATTCACATAATTTCTATTTCTAGAAATCCTCACTTCTTCATGAGGACTCAAGTGTCATTTCTTTTTAGTCAACAGAACTTTCTTCAGCATATCTTACAGTGCAAGTCTGCCAGCAATAAATGCACTCAGTTTTTGCTCATCTTAAAATATCTTATTTCAGATCTCAGTTTTGAAAAATATTTTCACTGGATATAGAATTCTGGGTTAATAATTTTTGCCTTTCAGCACTTTAAAGATGTACCATTGCCTTCTGTCCACCATTGTTTCTCCAGGAAAGT